TAAAGCCTCGGGGTTAAAGGTCGCAAAGGCCAAATGCACTGCAGCCCGGAGTTTTTGTTTGTTTTTAAATATATTGTTATTGATTTCAGAGAGGAAGGGAGAGGGAGGGGGAGAGACATCAAGGATAAGAGAGGATCGTGGATCGGCTGCCCCCTGCACGCCCCCCACTGGGGATCGAGCCTACAACCCGGGCCTGTGCCCTGACAGGGTATCAAGCTAGGACCTCCTGGTTCAGAGGTCGATGCTCAACCACTAAGCCACACCGGCCAGGCGCTATATAGCAAATTTGAGTCAAGAATAAAGTGAATAAAACAAAACAAAACCAAACATAAAAACCCTAGGCCAAGAGACACTCTGCAGCTGACAGGATGTGGTAAGAGTTTTCTTTGTCACGTTTATTGGGCACATGATTCCAGCAGCAAGTACCTTTCCCACCGCGCGTTCACACACTGCGTAGCAATTTATTTCGAGTATAAATACGTAAATACACAGCAATTTACAAAAGACCCCACGTGGCTTCTGGCCACTGAAGTCGTGCGGCAGCAGAAGGTAACGGTTAAATCCTGAACGTGAAGTTAAAAACCACGCCACCGATGCTCTAGCAAGTTCGCCAAACAGGTAGAAGCTTCCGGAAAAGTCCTCACGGGGACAGAGCCCGAGGGGCACCCGGCAGGGCACTGCCTAGAAACACACACACACAGGGCGTCACGGAGGGCGCAGCCCACACGCCAAGAGTTAAAGATGAGAAAGAGAGCAGATTCGCTGCCGGGCACCACCTCAAAGCCCCCGGAGAGCCACGCGAGGCCTCCACGTGGTGACGGCGTGGCCCGCGCGCCCACCAGCTGCCCCGACAAGGGAACGGGACGCACTCAGGGGCGAGGCCAGTTCCCGAGGGCCACCAGCCGGCACGGGCACCCGCCCGGGAAGCGGTGGGAGAGGATAGGCTGTCGGGGTGCCCCCGACGCCACTCCGTGTCACTGCGGGGTCCCAGGAGGCCTGTGCGACCACCCACGCCAGAGGTCAGATGGGGTCCCTTACAGGAGAGCCCAGGGGAACAGCCTGTCACCTGATGGTGGACACGATGGTGTTTTGTAAACTGTGAAAAGGCACACGGACCCTCCATCTCCACCAGATCCCGTGCAAACGCTCCCGTGACACCTGCCCCAGAACCAGCAGGACCCCCGGGAGCTGAGCTGGCTCTGCGCTCGGCCCGCGGGTCTGGAAGGAGTCACTCGGCCCTGCGCTGGGACAGGCACAGGAAGCTGACCCGCTGTGAGCGGTCACTGCGTCGCTGGCTGCGATCTGGACAGACACCGGAGGACGCCCTTGAGCAGGCGGCACACCCGCCCTCGGAGGAGAGCGGAGACCGCAGAGCCCAGGCTCTGCCGC